TAAAGACTTTGTTTGGACTTAACTTCTGCGTCCTGCGCCTGATTCCACACCACACCTACCTACAGCAACTCTTGACACAGAGACCCAAAACATCAAGGCTACAACATTATAGAAACTAGGACAGTGAAACATCATCATTTAGCCCCTTAGGATCCACAGTGTCTAAGGAGTACTGCCCCTTAGGATCCAGTGTCTAAGGAGTACTGCCCCTTAGGATCCACAGTGTCTAAGGAGTACTGCCCCTTAGGATCCAGTGTCTAAGGAGTACTGTCCCTTAGGATCCACAGGGTCTAAGGAGTACTGCCCCTTAGGATCCACAGTGACTAAGGTGTACTGTCTGTTAGGATCCACAGTGTCTAAGGAGTACTGCCCCTTAGGATCCAGTGTCTAAGGAGTACTGCCCCTTAGGATCCAGTGTCTAAGGAGTACTGTCCCGTAGGATCCACAGTGTCTAAGGAGTACTGCCCCTTAGGATCCACAGTGTCTAAGGAGTACTGCCCCTTAGGATGCACAGTGTCTAAGGAGTACTGCCCCTTAGGATCCAGTGTCTAAGGAGTACTGCCCCTTAGGATCCACAGGTCTAAGGAGTACTGCCCCTTAGGATCCACAGTGTCTAAGGAGTACTGCCCCTTAGGATCCACAGTGTCTAAGGAGTACTGCCCCTTAGGATCCAGTGTCTAAGGAGTACTGCCCCTTAGGATCCACAGTGTCTAAGGAGTACTGCCCCTTTAGATCCAGTGGCTAAGGAGTACTGCCCCTTAGGATCCACAGTGTCTAAGGAGTACTGTCCCTTAGGATCCACAGTGTCTAAGGAGTACTGCCCCTTAGGATCCACAGTGTCGAAGGAGTACTGCCCCTTAGGATCCACAGTGTCGAAGGAGTACTGCCCCTTAGGATCCACAGTGTCTAAGGAGTACTGCCCCTTAGGATCCACAGTGTCGATGGAGTACTGCCCCTTAGGATCCACAGTGTCGAAGGAGTACTGCCCTTAGGATCACAGTTCGAAGGATACTTGACCATTAGGATCCACAGGTCTATGGAGTCCATATGCCCTTAGGACCACAGGTCTATGAGTACCAGTTATTCCAGGTCACTATAGATCCATTATGTCTCCACCAGGTCACTATAGATCCATTATGTCTCCACCAGGTCACTATAGATCCATTATGTCTCCACCAGGTCACTATAGATCCATTAGGTCTCCACCAGGTCACTATAGATCCATTATGTCTCCACCAGGTCACTATAGATCCATTATGTCTCCACCAGGACACTATAGATCCATTATGTCTCCACCAGGTCACTATAGATCCATTATGCTGCTCTGTCTCCACCAGGTCACTATAGATCCATTATGCTGCTCTGTCTCCACCAGGTCACTATAGATCCATTATGCTGCTCTGTCTCCACCAGGTCACTATAGATCCATTATGCTGCTCTGTCTCCACCAGGTCACTATAGATCCATTATGCTGCTCTGTCTCCACTGGGGAACTCTCAAAGCCTTTACCTCTGTGTGTGTGTGTGTGTGTTTGATGTGTGTGTGTATGTGTGTTTGGTGCATGTGTGTATGTGTGTTCGGTGTGTGTGTGTGTGTGTACGTGTGTGTGTGTGTGTGTACGTGTGTGTTGTGTGTGTGCCTCACTCTCTTTCACTGCCCATACCTCCCTTGCCTACCTGAATACTCATAGAAGGACTGATCCAGTGAGTATTGCTGGTTAGGGACCTGAATACTCATAGAAGGACTGATCCAGTGAGTATTGCTGGTTAGGGACCTGAATACTCATAGAAGGACTGATCCAGTGAGTATTGCTGGTTAGGGACCTGAATACTCATAGAAGGACTGATCCAGTGAGTATTGCTGGTTAGGGACCTGAAGTACTCATAGAAGGACTGATCCAGTGAGTATTGCTGGTTAGGGACCTGAATACTCATAGAAGGACTGATCCAGTGAGTATTGCTGGTTAGGGACCTGAATACTCATAGAAGGACTGATCCAGTGAGTATTGCTGGTTAGGGACCTGAATACTCATAGAAGGACTGATCCAGTGAGTATTGCTGTATTTGCAGTACAGCCATTGTTCCCCATCTGAGCGCTTTTTTTAAATGATAATGTAAAAAATGTAAAACCCTCAGAGCAGAACAGAGTGGATCATTGCGGAGAGAGGCTGTAAAACAGCCCTGTGTGTGTCGGTTTGTGTGTGTGTGTGTAATTTTCTGGTGTGTGTGTGTGTGTGTTTTCGGGGTGTGTGTGAGTGGCTGTGCTGAGGGAACTCTTTAAAACTACATGTCCCTGGTTGATATTCTGCATTTCACTTTGATGCTGGCACTGAGATTTCTGTGTGGGTAAGCAACATTTCCCTGAATTTAAAATGTATGGAATTTAGTCGGAGAACAAACGGCCAAAGAAATTAAACTCTGTATAATGTACTCTTAGTGTAGACCAGAACAGTTGTCTTAACGTAGACCAGAACAGTAATCTTACTGTAGACCAGAACAGTTCTTACTGTAGACCAGAACAGTAATCTTACTGTAGACCAGAACAGTTCTTACTGTAGACCAGAACAGTTCTCTTACTGTAGACCAGAACAGTTCTCTTACTGTAGACCAGAACAGTTATCTTACCGTAGACCAGAACAGTTATCTTACCGTAGACCAGAACAGTTCTCTTACTGTAGACCAGAACAGTTCTCTTACCATAGACCAGAACAGTTATCTTACTGTAGACCAGAACAGTTCTTACTGTAGACCAGAACAGTTCTTACTGTAGACCAGAACAGTTCTTACTGTAGACCAGAACAAGTATCTTACTGTAGACCAGAACAGTTCTCTTACTGTAGACCAGAACAGTTATCTTACTGTAGACCAGAACAGTTCTCTTACTGTAGACCAGAACAGTTCTCTTACCGTAGACCAGAACAGTTATCTTACCGTAGACCTGAACAGTTATCTTACTGTAGACCAGAACAGTAATCTTACTGTAGACCAGAACAGTTGTCTTAACGTAGACCAGCACAGTAATCTTACTGTAGACCAGAACAGTAATCTTACTGTAGACCAGAACAGTTCTTACTGTAGACCAGAACATTTCTTACTGTAGACCAGAACAGTTCTTACTGTAGACCAGAACATTTCTTACTGTAGACCAGAACATTTCTTACTGTAGACCAGAACAGTTATCTTACCGTAGACCAGAACAGTAATCTTACCGTAGACCAGAACAGTAATCTTACTGTAGACCAGAACAGTACTCTTACTGTAGACCAGAACAGTTCTTACTGTAGACCAGAACAGTTCTCTTACTGTAGACCAGAACAGTTCTCTTACTGTAGACCAGAACAGTTCTCTTACCGTAGACCAGAACAGTTCTCTTACCGTAGACCAGAACAGGTATCTTACCGTAGACCAGAACAGTAATCTTACTGTAGACCAGAACAGTTGTCTTAATGTAGACCAGCACAGTAATCTTACTGTAGACCAGCACAGTAATCTTACTGTAGACCAGAACAGTTCTTACTGTAGACCAGAACAGTATCTTACTGTAGACCAGAACAGTATCTTACTGTAGACCAGAACAGTTATCTTACTGTAGACCAGAACAGTTCTTACTGTAGACCAGAACAGTATCTTACTGTAGACCAGAACAGTATCTTACTGTAGACCAGAACAGTATCTTACTGTAGACCAGAACAGTATCTTACTGTAGACCTGAACAGTTCTTACTGTAGACCAGAACAGTTCTTACTGTAGACCAGAACATTTCTTACTGTAGACCAGAACAGTTCTTACTGTAGACCAGAACATTTCTTACTGTAGACCAGAACAGTTCTTACTGTAGACCAGAACAGTTCTTACTGTAGACCAGAACATTCTTACTGTAGACCAGAACATTTCTTACTGTAGACAGCATGGTTGCAGCTTTCTCTCTCCCATTCTCTCCCTATCGGCTTCTCTCTTCTGACTCACTCACTCCCACCCACCCACCCACCCTGCCCCCCACACCCTCCCTCCCTCCCTCCCACCCACCCACACCCACCCACCCACCCCCCCGCCCCCCACACCCTCCCTCCCTCCCTCCCACCCTCCCTCCCTCCCTCCCTCCCACCCACCCACCCACCCTGCCCCCCCACACCCTCCTCCCTCCCACCCTCCCACACCACCACCCCCCCTTGCCCCCCCCACACCCTCCCTCCCTCCCTCCCTCCCTCCCCAGACCCACCTGTCATGTAGCACTTGGTCTCCAGGCTGTTGCTGAGAGGGTTATTGTTCTTGAACATGTACAGGTTGAAGGGGACTATGTTGTTGGCGTTCAGCCTGCTCCACACCTCGTGGTCCGGTGTGGTCCATCGTCCGGCCATGGTATCGTAGTCCCGCCGGCCCATGTGCACCAGGCGACTCAGCGGCTCGTACAGACCCCCCTGGTACCCCAGGATGAGCTGGAAGCTTGGGTTGGAGTCCAGGTACACCTCCCCGAATGCAGTGTGGAGGATCTGCTTGATCATCAGGCCAGAGCCGCTGAAATAAAATAAAAAAAAAACAATAAAAATGAATCCAAGGGTACATCCCTAATGACACCCTGTTCCCTATGTAGTGCACAACTTTTCCTCCATTCAAAGTGTGTTCTTTGAAGAACAGCAATCGTTTTGGACAAATTACATCACTGTATATAAAAAATAAATAAAAAATATAAAAAAAAGTAACAGAAACACTACTGTACACATTGAGATAATTAAGGAATAATCAAATTATTACCAAAAATATATATACTTTATTTGTACATTTTCAAATTTGAGAACATAAGAGACATTGACATTAATACAACAGAGATTATACAACTTTAGTCTTCTACTGAGTCAAAAGTTAACTTATTCTCCCGTTGACGTCACGAGTAAGTGAAAATGTGTTCCTAAGTGGAAGTTAAAGATTTGCCCCCTAATCACCTGAAGACGGCCTGTGGCGTGCCGATGGTATCACACGCTACATAGAACTCATCCCCGCTACTCAGCTCCATGGAGAACAGGTGTCCCTGAAGGTCGTAGTAGAGGGAAGAGATCTCGGAGCTGGTGTGGTTGTACATGTGAGTGACCCGGGTGGGACTGGACAGGTCAGCATAGAAGAACTGGAGGTGGTGACCCGGACTGCACCTGGATGAGACCCTCCGGCCCAGACCATCGTAACTGTAGCGGATACTCCAGCCGCTCACGCGGTTGTAGACCTTGAGAAGAAAAATATGAATCAATCAATAAATCAAAAAAATAATAGTATATTTGATTTGATTAACGCCTTTTTTTAACGACACTCAAGGACACCTTACGAGAAAAGTACATTAAAATCGAAGTGCGAATAAAAAGGGAATCAAAAGACCACGGGGAACAGAACGGATCACAGAGGGATACAGGAGAGGGGCTGGAACATATTCAAGAATAGAGCATCGGCTAGCTGAAAGAGTTGTGTTTTGAGGTGTTTTTGAAAGTGTCAACGGTGTTATGTGTGTCCTATGTGTCGTTTTATAAAGAATCAACCGTGTTGGAGGGTTGTAGCTATGTGTCAACCGTGTTGGAGGGTTGTAGCTATGTGTCAACTGTGTTGGAGGGTTGTAGCTATGTGTCAACTGTGTTGGAGGGTTGTAGCTACGTGTCAACTGTGTTGGAGGGTTGTAGCTATGTGTCAACTGTGTTGGAGGGATGTAGCTATGTGTCAGCTGTGTTGGAGGGTTGTAGCTATGTGTCAGCTGTGTTATGTGTGTCCTATGTGTCGTTTTATAAAGCATCAACTGTGTTGGAGTGTTGTACGTATCTTACCTTAACCAGGAGTCCAGCCGAGCTGTACTCAAAGAACTCACTCCCTCTCTGCTTCAGAAAGCCGTCCTCGTCCATGCGGTACTGGACGTCTCCCAGCCTGGTGATGCGGTCTCGGAGGTCGTAGCGTAGCGGCGTGAGGCGGGCGCTGTTCCCGGGGCTCAGCAGGTGAAGGTTACCGTTCAGGTCGTAGCTGTAGTGCCACAGAGGCTTGTCGTTGATGGACACGACCTGGAGCTGACTGTCAGCATCGTACTCATAGGTATACCGAGTGGTGTTGGCGTACGGGCCCACCTTAGAGAAACACAACGTTCATCTATCAGTCAATCAATCAGTCAATCAATCAATCTGTAGGTGTTGGCGTGTAATTGTAATTAAGCAATAAGGCCAGAGGGGGTGTGGTATATGGCCAATATACCACGGCTAAGGGCTGTTCTTACGAACGACACAACGTGGAGTATCTGGGATACAGCCCTTAGCCGAGGTATACCGTGGTATATACACCACAAACCCATGAGGTGCCTTATTGCTATTATAAACTGGTTACCAACATAATAACAGCAGTAATATACCCAGTATGGTATACGGTCAGATATACCACGGCTTTCAGACAATCAGAATTCAGGGCTCGAACCACCCGGTTTATTCATTCCTATATACAACAATGTTTTTCTTGAAAGGACTTTTGTAAGATGAACCCATCTTAGAACACTTTGAACACATAGAACCCTTAGAACACAGAACACGGAACACGGAACACGGAACACGGAACACGGAACACATTGGGCGTCAGGTAGCCTAGTGGTTAAGAGCGTTGAGCCAGTAACCAAAAGGTTGCTGGTTGGTTTCCCGAGCCGACTTGTTGGAAAAAAAATATGTCTGTGCTTTTGAGCAAGGCACTTAATACAAATTGCTCCTGTAAATCGCTATGGATAAGAGCGCCTGCTAAATGACTAAACTGTCAAATGTTAGAACTGTGAAAATGTGCTTTTCTATATTTCAAATGTGTCTAATTCTACTGTCTACTTGTCTGTTTTATCCTGGGTGTGACTCTTGGAAGATCCTAACAAACAAACACAAACAACAAAGAAAGAACGAGGTAACCAGACCAACCTTGAGTTCCTTGGCGACCACGCGTCCCATGTTATCGTACTGCACCATCATCCAGTACATGAGCGACCTGAAGATCTCGTACTGGACCTCCTTCACGCGGCCGTAGGCGTCAAAGTGTTTGGTGTGCGTCATCACAGCCGTGGTGATTATCTGGTTGATGTCGTAGTAGATGACCCCGAACTTCCCAAACTGCTCCGTCTTCCCCGAAACGTCATCATAGCGGTACAGGTCGATGGGGAGAGGCGTCTCATTGATCACCGCTTGCATGCTGGTGACCCGGAAGCTGTTGTCGTAGACGTAGTCGAAGCGGGCGTTGACCATCCCCTCCTCGCTGAACCTAAAGATCTGCCTGTCGATGAGTGGGCCGATCTGACGGTACCTGTGGTGTAGTGAACATTACTGTTAGTCCAGTCCATGTTTTTTTTTATTATGTTACTGACTGATACACTCAATATCCCATTCCATGTTTTACACACGCACTAGTTGAGCTAGACAGCTAGTCAACAACAATGTATTTATCCTATTTAACTTGAGTAAAATTCAACAAACTATATCAGACGGGGCCAAACTCCATTCTTCCGATTATATATATTTTCATTTTACGTTTTACATTGTATGAGATCCCATTTCATGTATGCATCTGCACATGTACCAAGATGTTCAAAAACAAACCTAACCCTAAAGCCAATCATCCGACAACACAACGGCAAAGTTGCAGTCACCTTATGGTACAGGTGGTCCCTTCAGTCTGCAGGTTCACCACCTTCAGCATCCCCGCTGTCTCGTCGTAGCTGAACGCGACGCGCGTCGTGTCGTACAGGATCTCAACTAGCTTGGCCAGCTTGTCGTACTTATACATCACCCTGCGCCCCGTGCCCAGGTAGGTGGTCTGCATCAGCTGGCCGTCTTCGCTGTAGTCCTGCAGCACCGACGCGTTCCCCTCGGAGGGGCGGTACGTGTTCCTATAGTAACCGATGGAGCGGGTGGTCTCCAGGGTGGTGCGGGCCACGTTGGGCATGGTCACGGAGGAGAGGCAGTCGTTCTTGTCGAACTCGAAGATGTACTGACGCTGACTGTACAGGAGAAGGACCATGGACTGAGGAGGAGAGAGGAAAGTGGGTTACCGACGGCAACCCTATTTCCCTATATAGTGCACTACTTTTGAAGAGGGCCCGTGGGATTGTGCTCTTTAAAGGGCACACTACAGGACCTGAGAGAGAACATGTTAGATATTAGGAATGCTGAGAGGTAAATTGACAGTCATTTTTATTAAAGTTGTGTGTGTTACCTACAGTGAGGGAAAAAAGTATTTGATCCCCTGCTGATTTTTTACGTTTGCCCACTGACAAAGACATGATCAGTCTATAATTTTAATGGTAGGTTTATTTGAACAGTGAGAGACAGAATAACAACAAAAAAATCCAGAAAACGCATGTCAAAAATGTTATAAATTAATCTGCATTTTAATGAGGGAAATAAGTATTTGACCCCTCTGCAAAACATGACTTAGTACTTGGTGTCAAAACACTTGTTGGCAATCACAGAGGTCAGACATTTCTTGTAGTTGGCCACCAGGTTTGCACACATCTCAGGAGGGATGTTGTCCCACTCCTCTTTGCAGATCTTCTCCAAGTCATTAAGGTTTCGAGGCTGACGTTTGGCAACTCAAACCTTCAGCTCCCTCCACAGATTTTCTATGGGATTAAGGTCTGGAGACTGGCTAGGCCACTCCAGGACCTTAATGTGCTTCTTCTTGAGCCACTCCTTTGTTGCCTTGGCCGTGTGTTTTGGGTCATTGTCATGCTGGAATACCCATCCACGACCCATTTTCAATGCCCTGGCTGAGGGAAGGAGGTTCTCACCCAAGATTTGACGGTACATGGCCCCGTCCATCGTCCCTTTGATGCGGTGAAGTTGTCCTGTCCCCTTAGCAGAAAAACACCCCCAAAGCATAATGTTTCCACCTCCATGTTTGACGGTGGGGATGGTGTTCTTGGGGTCATAGGCATCATTCATCCTACTCCAAACACAGCGAGTTGAGTTGATGCCAAAGAGCTCGATTTTGGTCTCATCTGACCACAACACTTTCACCCAGTTCTCCTCTGAATCATTCAGATGTTCATTGGCAAACCTCAGACAGGCCTGTATATGTGCTTTCTGGAGCAGGGGGACCTTGCGGACACTGCAGGATTTCAGTCCTTCACGGCGTAGTGTGTTACCAATTGTTTTCTTGGTGACTATGGTCCCAGCTGTCTTGAGATCATTGACAACATCCACCCGTGTAGTTCTGGGCTGATTCCTCACCGTTCTCATGATCATTGCAACTCCACAAGGTGAGATCTTGCATGGAGCCCCAGGCCGAGGGAAATTGAGAGTTATTTTGTGTTTCTTCCATTTGCGAATAATCGCACCAACTGTTGTCACCTTCTCACCAAGCTGCTTGGCGATGGTCTTGTTGCCCATTCCAGCCTTGTGTAGGTCTACAATCTTGTCCCTGACATCCTTGGAGAGCTCTTTGGTCTTGGCCATGGTGGAGAGTTTGGAATCTGATTGATTGATTTCTTCTGTGGACAGGTGTCTTTTATACAGGTAACAAACTGAGATTAGGAGCACTCCCTTTAAGAGTGTGCTCCTAATCTCAGCTCGTTACCTGTATAAAAGACACCTGGGAGCCAGAAATCTTTCTGATTGAGAGGGGGTAAAATACTTATTTCCCTCATTAAAATGCAAATCAAATTTATAATTTTTTTTGGTTGTTATTCTGTCTCTCACTGTTCAAATAAACCTACCATTAAAATTATAGACTGATCATTTCTTTGTCAGTGGGCAAACGTACAAAATCAGCAGGGGATCAAATACTTTTTTCCCCTCACTGTAGGCTGCTAGAGTCTGCTACAAAAGGACATACAAATGTCAAACGTAACAGAAACACCCAGACTATACAGATGCCTGTTATGTATTTAAGTCAGGAGCCAAGCTGTGAGATTCAAGAAAAAATTTTTATGTCTTCAATTGGGTAAGAAAGTATTGGGCAGGCAAATACATATATTTAAATCACTGTGCAGTCTGCTGTCACAGCAGGCTATCATTCCAGCTTTGAATCAGCTGTAAAACTGACTTCAGACCACTAATGGGCCGGCCATTTTGTTAAATTAAATGGTAAAACCTGAAGATCCCCAAAGATCCTGACTTTAATTAACAATGTGAAAGTGACATTTCATTCATTTCTGCTCATCAGAGTCTATTTTAGGGGCAACGGCCCTATCAAGCTGTCTGCACTAACAATGTATACATTGTTAGAGAGAGAGAGAGAGAGAGAGAGAGAGACAGACAGAGAGAATCAGACAGTCCTTTATTACAGCTCTCTACACATGTCTCAGACAGACATAGATTAGATAAAGCTAAGAATAGAAAGGTAACTTTGAACTAGAAATCTTAAATCTGCTTTTAAGGGCACTGAAATATCAATCACGTTTTCTATGACATCATGTCCCAAGCCATGTCTTGGCTATAGTTTATCTTTAGTACACATTTTGACATTTACATTTATCCAGTGAGTGCATACATTATAAAAAAAAAAAAATCATACTGGCCCCCCCGTGGGAATCGAACCCACAACCCTGACGTTGCAAACGCCATGCTCTACCAACTGAGCTACATCCCTGCCGGCCCTTCCCTCCCCTACCCTGGACGACGCTGGGCCAATTGTGCGCCGGCTACGACAGAGCCTTGGATTCGAACCAGGATCTCTAGTGGCACAGCTAGCACTGCGATGCAGTGCCTTAGACCACCAGGCTTTTCTCCATTAGTTCCTCAGTACTCTGTGTACTGTGAATGTCTACATTGAATGTAGTGTAGGTCTATTTCATGAGTTTCATTGTATTTTATGTGGAGAGTTCAGAGTTCAGAGTTCAGAGTTCATATATAACCCTTCCTATTATCCCTATTAAAGACGTATCGAAATGTTTTCTGCGTTCAAACTTCAGAAGCCTTTTTAACCCTCAAATGCACAACAAGTTTTACATGTCCTGCAACAGGGTGATCAAATGAAGATCCTACATCTGTAAATGGCACCCTATGCCTTTAGAAAGTATTAACACCCCTTGACTTTTTCCATATGTTGTTGTTTTAAAGCCTGAATTTAAACTGGATTAAATTTAGATTTTGTGTCACTGTCCTACACACAATAATGTGAAAGTGGAATTATGTTTTTAGAAAATGTTTACCAATTTATTAAAAATAAAAAGCTGAAATATCTTGAGTCGATAAATATTCAACCCCTTTGTTATGGCAATAAGTTCAGGAGTAAAACTGTGCTTAACAAGTCACATAAGTTGCATGGACTCACTCTGTGTGCAATAATAGTGTTTAACATGATTTTTGAATGACTACCTCATCTCTGTACAATTATACAATTATCTGTAATGTCCCTCAGTCGAGCAGTGAATTTCAGACACAGATTCAACCACAAAGACCAGGGAGGCTTTCCAAGAAGGGCACCTATTGGTAGATGGGTAGAAATAAAAAAGCAGACATTGAATATCCCTTTGAGCATGGTGAAGTTATTAACTACACTATGGATGGTGTATCAATACACCCAGTCACTACAAAGATACAGGTGTCCTTCCTAACTCAGTTGCCGGAGAGGAAGGAAACCGCTCAGGGATTTCACCATGAGGCCAATGGTGACTTTAAAACAGTTACAGAGTTTAATGGCTGTGAATAGGAGAAAACTGAGGATGGATCAACAACATTATAGTTACTTCACAATACTAACCTAAATGACAAGAGTGAAAAGAAGGAAGCCTGTACAGAAAAAATATATTCCAAAAGATGCATCCTGTTTGCAACAAGGCACTAAAGTAAAACTGCAAAAAATGTGGCAAATAAATTAACTTTATGTCCTGAATACAAAGCGTTATGTTTGGGGCAAATCCAACACAACACATCACTGAGTACCACTCTTCATATTTTCAAGCATAGTGGTGGCTGCATCATGTTATGGGTATGCTTGTCATCGGCAAGGACTAATTCGTTTTTTAGGATAAAATAAAACGGAATAGATCTAAGCACAGGCAGAATGCTAGAGGAAAACCTGGTTCAGTCTGCTTTCCAACAGACACTGGGAGACACATTCACCTTTCAGCAGGACAATAACCTACAACACAAGGCCAAATATACACTGAAGTTGCTTACCAAGATGACCTTGAATGTTCCTGAGTGGCAGAGTTACAGTTTTGACTTAAATCGGCTTGAAAATATATGGCAAGACTTGAAAATGGCTGTCTAGCAATGATCAACAACCAACTTGACAGAGCTTGAATAATGTTTTTAAGAATAATGCTAATATTGTACAATCCAGGTGTGCAAAGCTCACAGCTGTAATCGCTGCCAAAGGTGATTCTAACATGTATTGACTCAGGGGCGTGAATACTTATGTAAATATAATATTTAGGTATTTCATTTTCAATAAATTTGAAAACATTTCTAAAAACATGTTTTCACTTTGTCATTATGGGATATTGTGTGTAGATGGGTGAGAAATAAATATATTGAATCAATTCTGAATTCAGGCTGTAACACAACAAAATATGGAATAAATCAAGGGGTATGAATACTTTCTGAAGGCCCCATATTTAGTAAATATATATATATATATATGGCACTAGTGGTGTTTTTTTTACCTTCTCCAGGTAAGTGTAGGTCCATGACTTCCCATCGGCAAAGATCTGCGACGTGATTCGTCCATTCTGGTCGTACTCCATGCGTATGGACATGGTGCCCCGCTGGATGCCGGCCACGTGTCCGCCCGGGGAGTATGTGACGTTGACCCCGTTGAGGCGGCTGCTGGGGGCCCAGAGCGTTGGGCGTCCGGCGTGGTCGTAGTGGATCCTTAACGTGAACTTCCTGTGGTCGTCATAAACCTTCTCTGTCCGTGTGATACGGTCAAAGTCCAGGGAGAGGAGGTTCCTGTTATGGACCTGGGGGAGAGGAGAGGGGAGAGGAAGAGGCGGAGAGGAGGAGGAGAGGAGAGGAGGGGAAGGAAGGAGAAGAGGAGATGAGAGGAGCAGAGGCGAGGAGGACTCGAGGAGGTGGAGAGGAGAGGAAGTGCGAGGCGAGGGACGGAGGAGGGAGAGAGGTGAGGAGAGGAGAGGAGAGGCGGAGGAGGGACGAGAGAGGCTGAAGGGAGCGGAGAGCGGACGAGGAGGGAGACGCGCATCTTGAGAAGACGAGCGGAGAGGAGCGAGAGAGAAGCAGACGAGGAGAGGAGGGGAGAACGGCTGGGAGGAGACCCTGCCCGGAGGGAGAGGAGGGAGTGCTGACGGAGAGGAGGAGGAGAGGCGAGGAGAGGAGAGGAGGGAGAGGTCGAGAGAGGGAGAGGAGAGGAGAGGACGGAGGAGAGGAACCCGAGGAGAGGAGAGGAGAGGAGAGGAGAGGAGAGGAGAGGAGAGGAGAGGAGAGGAGAGGAGAGGAGAGGAGAGGAGAGGAGGTCAGATAATTTGGTAAGCTTTTAAATTTGACATTTTTATCCAGAGCTACTTGCAATCAGTGCATTCAAAACGTTAAGTAGGACAAACCATCACATTTCAGTTATTGCAAGTATACTTTTCTACTTGAAGCTTGCAGGTATAACGCATTATGATGTGCATTGCAATATAATACGTAATATCTGTTGTGCAGTAAGTACAGTTGAAGTCGGAAGTTTACGTACATTTAGGTTGGAGTCATTAAAACTCGTTTTTCAACCACTCCACAAATGTCTTGTTAACAAACTATAGTTTTGGCAAGTCGGTTAGGACATCTACTTTGTGCATGACACAAGTAGTTTTTCCAACAATTGTTTACAGACAGATTATTTCACTTATAATTCACTGTATCACAATTCCAGTGGGTCAGAAGTTTACATACACTAAATTGCCTGTGCCTTTACACAGCTTGGAAAATTCCAGAAAATGAAGACATGGCTTTAGAAGCTTCTGATAGGCTAATTGACATCATTTGAGTCAATTGGAGGTGTACCTGTGGATGTATTTCAAGGCCTACCTTCAAACTCAGTGCCCCTTTGCTTGACATCATGGGAAAATCAAAAGAAATCAGCCAAGACCTCAGAAAAATAATTGTAGACCTCCACAAGTCTGGTTCATCCTTGGGAGCAATTTCCAAACGCCTGAAGGTACCATGTTTATCTGTACAAACAATAGTATGAAAGTATAAACACCATGGGATCCCCGCAGCCGTCATACCGCTCAGGAAGGAGACGGGTTTTGTCTCTTAGAGATTAACGTACTTTGGTGCGAAAAGTGCAAATCAATCCCAGAACAACAGCAAAGGACCTTGTGAAGATGCTGGAGGAAACAGGTACAAAAGTATCTATATCCACAGTAAAACGAGTCCTATATCAACATAACCTGAAAGGCCGCTCAGCAAGGAAGAAGCCACTGCTCCAAAACCGCCATAAAAAAGCCAGACTACGGTTTGCAACTGCACATGGGGACAAAGATCGTACTTTTTGGAGAAATGTCCTCCGGTCTGATGAAACAAAAATAGAACTGTTTGGCCATAATGACCATCGTTATGTTTGGAGGAAAAAGGGGAAGGCTTGCAAGCCGAAGAACACCATGCCAACCGTGAAGCACGGGGGTGGCAGCATCATGCTGTGGGGGTGCTTTGCTGCAGGAGGGACTGGTGCACTTCACAAAATAGATGGCATCATGAGGAAGGAAAATTATGTGGATATATTGAAGCAACATCTCAAGACATCAGTCAGGAAGTTAAAGCTTGGTCGCAAATGGGTCTTCCAAATGGACAATGACCCCAAGCATACTTCCAAAGTTGTGGCAAAATGGCTTAAGGACAACAAAGTCAAGGTATTGGAGTGGCCATCACAAAGCCCTGACCTCAATCCTATAGAATATTTGTGGGCAGAACTGAAAAAGCCTGTGCGAGCAGGGAGGCCTACAAACCTGACTCAGTTACACCAGCTCTGTCAGGAGGAATGGGCCAAAATTCACCCAACTTATTGTGGGAAGCTTGTTGAAGGCTACCTGAAACGTTTGACCCAAGTTAAACAATTTAAAGGCAATGCTACCAAATACTAATTAGGAATGTGATGAAAGAAATAAAAGCTGAAATAAATCATTCTCTCTACTATTATTCTGACATTTCACATTCTTAAAATAAAGTGGTGATCCTAACTGACCTAAGACAGGGAATTTTTACTAGGATTAAATGTCAGGAATTGTGAAAAACTGAGTTTAAATGTATTTGGCTAAGGTGTACGTAAATTTCCGACTTCAACGACAAATAGCCTTGGCTTGTGCGAGCCGGAACGGCTCATAGGAGCAGGAGTCTATCTCCTGTTTCTGTAGTGAGGCAGCTTGATGTACAGGACACCCCCTGGACAGGACACTAGTCTATCTCCTGTTTCTGTAGTGAGACAGCTTGATGTACAGTACACCCCCTGGACAGGACACTAGTCTATCTCTTGTTTCTGTAGTGAGGCAGCTTGATGTACAGTACACCCCCTGGACAGGACACTAGTCTATCTCCCGTTTCTGTAGTGAGACAGCTTGATGTACCAGGACACCCCCTGTACAGGACACTAGTCTATCTCCTGTTTCTGTAGTGAGGCAGCTTGATGTACCAGGACACCCCCTGGACAGGACACTAGTCTATCACAGGGCCTTACCGCCAATCTATGTATTTAATGCTAAATGCCAAGCAGAGACGCATCAGGTCCCATTTGACAGTCTTTGGTATGACTCGGCCGGGGATCGAACTCCCAACCTTCCAATCTCATGGTGGTCACTCTAACCACAAGGCCACTGAGGTGATTTTTTGTTATGACAAAACAATCAATATGCTAAAATACAAACATTGAATCTAATCCATAGAAAAATAATAAAAATACCTGTCAATAAATTTTTTTTAAAAATAACTGCAAAAGGAGAAAGGAGAGAGTCCCAGCCAGCCAGACAGTTAAGGGTTAACTACGCCAACACTAGCCAGACAGTTAAGGGTTAACTACGCCAACACTAGCCAGAGAGTTAAGGGTTAAGTACGTCAAAAAAAAAGAACAAAAAAAAAGAAAAATATACCATTTAGCAGACGCTTTTCATGTGTGCATACACTTTTACGTATGGGTGGTCCCCGGGATCGAACCCACTACCCTGGCGTTACAAGCGCCGTGCTCTACCAGCTGAGCTACAGAGGACCACACCGCTGAAGTGTAGAGAGAGTCCCAGCCAGCCAGGGTTACCGAAACCCGGCCAGCAGTTAAGGGGTTAACTACCCGAACACCGGCCAGACAGTTAGGGGTTAACTACCCCGAACACCGGCCAGGACAGTTAAGGGTTAACTACCCGAACACCGGCCCGAACAGTTAAGGGTTAAACTTAACCCGAAACACCGGCCAGACCAGTTAAGGGTTAAACTACGCCGAACAACCGGCCAGACAGTTAAGGGTTAACCTACGCCAACACCGCCCAGACAGTTAAGGGTTAAACTACCCGAAACACCGGCCAGACAGTTAAGGGTTAACTACCCGAACACGGCCAGACAGTTAAGGGTTAACTACCCGAACAACACCAGACAGTTAAGGGTTAACTACACCGAACACGGGCCAGACGGTTAAGGGTTAACTAACCCGAACCCCAGCCCGGACAGTTTAAGGGTTAACTACCCGAACACCGGCCAGACAGTTAAGGGTTAACTACGCCAACACCAGCCAGACAGTTAAGGGTTAACTACCCGAACACCGAGCCAGACAGTTAAGGGTTAACTACCCGAACACCGGCCAGACAGTTAAGGGTTAACTACGCCAACACCAGCCAGACAGTTAAGGGTTAACTACCCGAACACCACCAGCCAGTTAAGGGTTAACTACCCGAACACCAGCCAGACAGTTAAGGTTAACTACCCGAACACCAGCCAGACAGGTTAAAGGGTTAAACTACCCGAACACCAGCCAGACAGTTAAGGGTTAACTACCCGAACACCAGCCAGACAGTTAAGGGTTAACTACCCGAACACCAGCCAGACAGTTAAGGGTTAACTACCCGAACACCAGCCAGACAGTTAAGGGTTAACTACCCGAACACCAGCCAGACAGTTAAGGGTTAACTACCGAACACCAGCAGACAGTTAAGGGTTAACTACCCGAACACCAGCCAGACAGTTAAGTGTTGAACTACCCAGAACACCGGCCCAGACAGTTAAGGGTTAACTACCCCGAAACACCAGCCAGACAGTTAAGGGTTAACTACCCGAACACCAGCCAGACAGTTAAGGGTTAACTACCCGAACACCAGCCAGAAGGTTAAGGGTTAACTACCCGAACACCAGCCAGACAGTTAAGTGTTGACTACCCGAACACCAGCCAGACAGTTAAGGGTTAACTACCCGAACACCAGCCAGACAGTTCAATCAATCAATCAATTTTATTTTATATAGCCCTTCGTACATCAGCTAATATCTCGAAGTGCTGTACAGAAACCCAGCCTAAAACCCCAAACAGCTAGTAATGCAGGTGTAGAAGCACGGTGGCTAGGAAAAACTCCCTAGAAAGGCCAAAACCTAGGAAGAAACCTAGAGAGGAACCAGGCTATGAGGGGTGGCCAGTCCTCTTCTGGCTGTGCCGGGTGGAGATTATAACAGAACCATGCCAAGATTTTCAAAAATGTTCATAAGTGACAAGCATGGTCAAATAATAATCAGGAATAAATCTCAGTTGGCTTTTCATAGCCGATCATTAAGAGTTGAAAACAGCAGGTCTGGGACAGGTAGGGGTTCCATAACCGCAGGCAGAACAGTTAAAACTGGAATAGCAGCAAGGCCAGGCGGACTGGGGACAGCAAGGAGTCACCACGGCCGGTAGTCCCGACGTATGGTCCTAGGGCTCAGGTCTCTCAGTTGGCTTTTCATAGCCGATCATTAAGAGTTGAAAACAGTTAAGGGTTAACTACGCCAACACAGCTGAAGTGTAGCGTAATGTGTTGTGATGAACAGGGGAATTATGTGTTTGGAAGTTAGAGCAGTGTGATTGAGAAGATTTTTGAGGAAACCTCAACCTAAAATGTGATTATTTTTAAATTACAATAGTCAGTGCAATATCTCAAGAGTAAAGGAATCATTGAAGTGATGCAGTTATAAGAATTACCATATTTATTTGTTTGTCAAATAATTCAGAGAAGCCTTAGTGGAAGATCTGAATATTCAGGGGAGAAAAATAAGACATTCACTGATCATTAAAAAGTCTAGTCACTTTTTTAAATGACTCCCATGTTACTGAGTCTAGTCACTTCTCTAAATGACTCCCATGTTACTGAGTCTAGTCACTTCTCTAAATGACTCCCATGTTACTGAGTCTAGTCACTTCTCTAAATGACTCCCATGTTACTGAGTCTAGTCACTTCTTTAAATGACTCCCATGTTACTGAGTCTAGTCACTTCTCTAAATGACTCCCATGTTACTGAGTCTAGTCACTTCTCTAAATGACTCCCATGTTACTGAGTCTAGTCACTTCTCTAAATGACTCCCATGTTACTGAGTCTAGTCACTTCTCTAAATGACTCCCATGTTACTGAGTCTAGTCACTTCTCTAAATGACTCCCATGTTACTGAGTCTAGTCACTTCTCTAAATGACTCACATGTTACTGAGTCTAGTCACTTCTCTAAATGACTCCCATGTTACTGAGTCTAGTCACTTCTCTAAATGACTCCCATGTTACTGAGTCTAGTCACTTCTCTAAATGACTCCCATGTTACTGAGTCTAGTCACTTCTCTAAATGACTCCCATGTTACTGAGTCTAGTCACTTCTTTAAATGACTCCCATGTTTACTGAGTCTAGTCACTTCTCTAAATGACTCCCATGTTACTGAGTCTAGTCACTTCTTTAAATGACTCCCATGTTACTGAGTCTAGTCACTTCTCTAAATGACTCCCATGTTACTGAGTCTAGTCACTTCTTTAAATGACTCCCATGTTACTGAGTCTAGTCTAGTCACTTCTTTAAATGACTCCCATGTTACTGAGTCTAGTCACTTCTCTAAATGACTCCCATGTTACTGAGTCTAGTCACTTCTTTAAATGACTCACATGTTACTGAGTCTAGTCACTTCTCTAAATGACTCCCATGTTACTGAGTCTAGTCACTTCTCTAAATGACTCCCATGTTACTGAGTCTAGTCACTTCTTTAAATGACTCCCATGTTACTGAGTCTAGTCACTTCTCTAAATGACTCCCATGTTACTGAGTCTAGTCACTTCTTTAAATGACTCCCATGTTACTGAGTCTAGTCTAGTCACTTCTTTAAATGACTCCCATGTTACTGAGTCTAGTCTAGTCACTTCTTTAAATGACTCCCATGTTACTGAGTCTAGTCACTTCTTTAAATGACTCCCATGTTACTGAGTCTAGTCACTTCTTTAAATGACTCCCATGTTACTGAGTCTAGTCACTTCTCTAAATGACTCCCATGTTACTGAGTCTAGTCACTTCTCTAAATGACTCCCATGTTACTGAGTCTAGTCACTTCTCTAAATGACTCCCATGTTACTGAGTCTAGTCACTTCTCTAAATGACTCCCAT